GGACTGGGGAGGAAGGGAAGAGGAGCGTGGTGGAGGGGCGGGGAAGCGAACGGTCTCCGTTATGCAAATAATCAGGAAGACTGCGTTTCCCCGCCACAAGGAGCCCCAGACCCATCTGGCCCTCCGGAGGTCGCCAGAGAGCAAAGATTCGGGATTAGGGGTGCCTGGTTAGGGTACCGCGTGATGCCGGGAGCCTGCCTCCTCCAGAGGAGGGCAGGAGGGCAGACCTGAACTAGGGGGAGGGGCAACGCGGCGGGGCTAGGATCCCCAAATGCTGGCTCTACCCCAGGTCCCCAGGGTTGAATCCAGCACTCTCCCTCTTTTCATCCTAATAAACGGGACTATAATCCCGGCTGGGCTACCGACTGACTGCGTGACCCTGCGCAAGTCACTAACTTCTCTACGCCTCGATTTCTTCTTATGTAGAATATGAAGCAACAAAATCTATTTCACAGGGTTAGGCAAGAACATTCCAACCTCCAGCGTCTCACGTACTCGGTGCTCTCCAATGCGGCCGACAGGAAGGAAGGAGTGCGGGCGAAGCCCCGCGCACAGTGAGACTTCCACCCCAAGGTATCTGCAGGCCCGTGGGCCACCGGCCTCAGGTAAGGGGGTCGGTCCGGAAGGAAAGGAGCAGTTTCCTTCCCTTCTCTGGGGCTGCTAGAGGAAGGCGAGAGGAAATTGCATGCTGAGCAAGCTCGGGCAGAAAGGGTGTGACCACCTGAGGCCATAATCATCTCTCAGATGCCTCTAGAGCGCCCCCTTGACTCTGAGCTTGAAGGGAAGGTGGTGTGGTAGGGGAGGAGGGACGGGAGAGTGGAAGGTAGTCTAGGTCCTCTGGACACAGGAGGTGGGGTACACACTCAGCCAGTGCTTGAAGCCCAGGCCCAGAATTCCCTGTCCAAATCAAGGTGGCCACTCCCCACCACCAGTAGCATCCTCATCTCATCCCAATGCCCTCTTCCAAACACTGCTTCCTCCCTCCCCAGATCCTGGACCCCTACAGTTTTCTCTGCTGGCCCCTCCCAGCTGCGGTGGAAACTGCTCTGTACAAAGAGCTCCAGTTGGAGAGGGTGACAAGCAGACTGAATTCAAATCTCTGTGCGTTGGTGTGAGTTTCTTAGCCTCTCTGAGCCTCCCTTTCCTCGTCTGTAACATGGAGATATTAATGACAGTGCTGTTTCCAGGATTATGTGAAATCATCTCTGAAGCACTTAGCTGAGTATCTGGCATACAGAAGGTGCTCCTAACAGTAAAATGTAGGTGTGATTGAGTGGAAGCAAACAAACTCATAAGACTATTCGGGGAGGTTTTAGACTTTATTCTGAAAAAATTAGAAGCTATTAAATTAAAAGATTTTGTGTAGGGGCATGACATGCATTTTTGTGTTTTATGCTAATTTCTCCAGCAAATGAATGGCAGAAGCAGAGACTGCAAGCCTGGGGTGCAAAGACCAACTTGGAAGCTTCCATCGGTGGAGATATAATAGGAGGGATGGCAATGACAGAGGGAATGAAAAAGGGGACACCCAAATAATACCTACGATTTGCAGAGCAAAAGCACTCTGCTGATTATATTGTATCTCCTCATCATTACATAGGTGGTGGCCTTAGGATAGTTGAAGAAACTGAAGTCACCTCAGAAATGGAAGGGCTGGAATTCGAACCCTCTTCGACATTCATTGAAAGCCTTCATCATTTTCTTCTGTGTCGCTTTTGTGTCAAGAACCAGAAACAGAGAAGTTTTTGTAGAACGTTGTGGAGTCCTAACTCCATAGTTGTCTTTACCAGCACTCTAACCAAATATGGGGGAAGCAAAGAACACTCTTATTGTGGATTCTTGACTTGCAGACTTGAAATGAACACAGATGACATGATAAGTCCAAGAAGTTCCTGGGACTCTGAGGCAGAAGAGCAGGCTGGTAGGAGTACTCCCAGCAAGCTTCCAGGATGGGAGCAGCTGTGGGCTACCCCATTTAGGGGCTGCTCCCTCAAGCTTGCTGTCTGGTCAGTTGGGGCTTTTTGACCTCTACGTGAGAGGCAGGAGGCTGAACCATTCACTGGGGGACAGTTCTGCCCTCCCTAGCCTATTTATGAGGCTTCCATACCTATTGTCTCTGGGGCTCCTACCTTGACAAGTATTTTTTCCCCTTAAGAAGTACAGATACCTACTTCCCTCTGGACACTATCTCAGCCCCTCACAATCTCAGTCTTTGTTCATAAATAATATTTTTGGTAATGCGTTTCTCCATCACCATTTTAGGCACTGTACTGGCTAACACAAATAATGCCCTACTCTATAATGTAAATGTACAACAACCTACTCAAAACAATATTTTCATAGTACTCTTGAATTGGAGGTGTTATTAAGTTCACCAGTGGGGGGGGGGGGCGCAGGCAGTTGAAAGTGTCCTCTCAGACCCTTCTTCTCACTCCACTATAGATGATCATCAAGACCCTTAGATAGCCTTTCCGGTTCTCCTCTGAATGCGTTCAGCACCTATTGTTTAACCTTGGGCCTCAGTGCTGTCCGCTTCAAGGATAAAGATACCTAGAGACAGCTAAGTCTATAGAACCTAAGTCAGAAAATAGGAATAGAATAACAGTATCTCTAATTTAAGCACCCAGGGACTGCTCCTACTGTTCCTGCACAGATGGGCCAGTGGAGCATGGAGTGCGGGCAGGAGAGGATACTAGAAGGCAGAGGCTTAACACCAGACATAGACCTCATGGTAGGACCACATGGCAGCCACATAGCCCCTAGTAGAGCAACCAGTGGCCTGGTGGCTCCAAGACTTCAGAGTAAGGTATGAGCAACAGTGTGATCAGGATCAGTCAGAGAACTGGACCTATTGTGTGGGCACAGGTGTGGTTGGTCTGCCCTTCACCCAATCAGATTCAGTGTCCAGCCCTGTCGTAGGAAATAAAGGAAAAATCAAGTCTCCATTATCAAATCACTTGTGTATTAGCAAAATTTCTCCTGGTTCACAATAATAATTATCACCATGTACTGAATATCTACTGTGTGCAAGGCAGTCTATGTGCATGTTCTCATTCAATCCTCACTTTGGGGAGGATGGATCATTTTAGAACCCTAGTGCACTTAAGTCATCTTGAGCTCTTCCTGTTCTGGCCTTAAGGCCAATCTTAGCATGAGATTAATGCATGGGGGCAAGGGGATGAATACAAACCTCCCTCCAAGAAAACATGAGAGAAGCTTTACTGATAGTTTGTTAAGGAGGCAAAATGGTGTTACACCAAACATCATGAGCAAGACTTACAGCACCCACCTTACAGCATCCTTTTCCACAAAGTTCTACTCCTGACAGTCACCCTCTCACTTTTCTACACCTCTCTCTTCAACATCCCTCAAACCCCCACAATATTCCTCCAGCTCCCTTCCCATCAAGGTTCTTCCCTCTAGACAGGCTCCTTGATTTTAATGTTAATTAATTTCATTTCAATTAGCCTTTCTCAGTGACTCCAAAGGGTGTGAAAAAGTGGGAAGCTACAAATAAAGAAAGAGAATTCACAAGAATATAAATCCATTTACAAATGGCTTGCATATACATTATTTCACTTGAGTCCTCTTCAGACTCACAATAACCTGTGAGGTAGGTAAAGTTCTTTTTTTTAAAAAATATATTTTTATTGATTCAGAGAGGAAGGGAGAGAGAGATAGAAACATGATCAGGAATCGAATCGTGACCACCTGGCTCATAGGTCAAAGCTCAACCATTGAGTCACGCAGGTAAGGTTCTTTATCATCCCCATCCTATCTAATAATAGACAAACATGGTAATTGACCGTACCTTCGCTACGCCTCCCATTGGCTAATCAGCATGATATGCAAATTAGCCGCCAACAAAGATGGCGGCTAATTTGCATATTGCAGGCAGGGCGGGACAGCGCCATCCCGCCTGCCCTGCCGCCATCCGGGCCTGCTATCTGCGACCCGGGGTGGCGGGCATCCGTGTGTGACCCAACTCGGGGCAGCCAGGCGGGGCATCAGTGATCTGCCAGCCCGTCCGGGCATCCCGTGTGTGACCCGACCCAGGGCGGCACCCCAACCCCCGGATCAGCACTGCCGTGTGCGTGACCCAGGGAGGCAGGGCAGGCACCGACAGATCGGGCCTGCCATCTGCCGCCCGGGGAGTGGGCCTAAGGCAGCAGGTGGTTATCTCCCGAGGGGTCCCAGACTGTGAGAGGGCACAAGTGGGGCTGAGGGTCACCCCTCCACCCTCCCCTCCCCCACCAGTGCACAAATTTTTGTGCACCGGGCCTCTAGTTTACAGATAAAAATCCTGAGGCTCAGGGGTAAAGTGAATTGCTTAAACGCCATTAGTGAGTGTTGCACTGTGCTGTGTGTTGAAACCAAGGCCTTTTTTTTTTAAATGCCATTTCTGGCCTCAGGGCTGCAAAAGGCTAGATAAGCCTATCAAATGTCACTGACACTTAACAGACTGCAGCTGCCAAAACTGCTGCCCTGCTGCCTGGGGGCAGAACTCATAAGCTATACCCAGGAGATCAGATGCACCAGGAATGGCAGGAAATACAGGGGCAAATGGACTCTGTGGAATCAAAGATGCTTATAATAAATTATCTCAAAAAGATCCAAAAAAATTGGTTTCTCTCAAGGGATACCTATCAGAACAAAAGTGGAAGCTGCCTACTGTGTGTCCATGACCTGAGAATGACTATCTGCTAACCTGCAGTAATGGTCAGGCTTTGTGTAAGAGAAGATGTTGGTCAATGAAACTTCTTTGTGATTAACAGATTTTTTTTAGCGCGGCAGGGAGAACCAGTGTTTGATACCAGTTGGTACAGTGGGGCCTTGACTTACGAGTGTCCCGACTAACGAGTTTTTTGAGATACCAGCTGTCTCTCGGCCGATTTTTTGCATTGAGTTGATAGAGTAATTTGAGTTAACGAGCTCCTTAACGAACTCGGTCTCGGAATGAATTAAACTCGTAAGTCAAGGCCCCACTGTATTTGTTCTAAACCTACTTCTATATAGTCTCATGTTTTTTTAAAAATCTATTTTTAATAGTTTCCCCCACTGATTTTACTGATAAAGTTTGCTTTGGGAAATTTAGAAAAGTCAGACAAGTATAAAGAAGCAAGGTGGAAAAATTGGCCACAAGCAGAATTTACCTTTTGGCCTATTTTCTTTCTCATTTCCTGTGTATTTTTCTAGAACTTTTCATAGTTGAGATAATAATGTATATATGTTATATCCTGTTTTTCTCCCCTATTTAGAGTATACTATAATCATTTTCTCTATATATGTATTCATTCACTTCAGCCCTTATTAGAGGCAAAGGAAATACTATTCTGAGACAAGTTACTATTGGTTTATTACACCATTTATTTGCTCTCTGGGAGACAGATTAGTTCAGTGGCTGAGAAAACAAATTCTGGAGTCAAGCTGTCGGAGTTTGAATACTGACTGCTACCTTCAAGCTGTGTGACATTGGACAAATTAATTAACCTCTCTGGCTCTTTTTTCTTACCTGCAAAATGAGCATAGTAGTATCTACTTCACAACGTGGTTCTAAAGATTAAACGAGTTAATCACATTAAAACTGCTTATAAACAAATACATGGCACAGTGTAAGTGATAGCTATTGCAATATATGAGTGCATCATTAATTATTAAACCATTTTCCTGTAGCTGGACATTAAGGTTGTTTTCAATGTTTCTACTAGCATAAATAGTCCTTCAATAAACTATCCATTGCACTCATGAGGGGAGGAAAGGATAAATGACCCAGGAGGAGACAACTGATCAACTTGTCTATTTGACAAACATTAACTGAACACTATGGGTGAAGAAAGGGTCTAGACCCATGGTCAGCAAACTGTGGCTCGAGAGCCACATGCGACTCTTTGGCCCCTTGAGTGTGGCTCTTCCTAAGCCATAGGAGTACCCTAATTAAGTTAATAACAATGTACCTACCTATATAGTTTGTTTAAAAAATTTGGCTCTCAAAAGAAATTTCAATCGTTGTACTGTTGATATTTGGCTCTGTTGACTAATGATTTTGCCGCCCACTGGTCTAGACTATGTCAGGGATCATGAAGATGAATAGAAGACACTAAGAAGCACAAGGGCCAGGCTTCAAACTCAAGAAGCTTTAGTAAGATTTTCAAAAATTTCACAAATGTTGCCTCCAGAAAGATATTATCACCATCGCATATTTCTACATATCACCTATGTGGACAGAGGTTACAAAATGCCTAATTTCAAATGACCAATACAGCAAATGGTACAAACTCAGTCAGTCCTCCTTTCTCTCCTCATCGGGAAGGCTTGATCAAGAATGCCTGCCTGCCCAACCAGTGTGGCTCAGTGGTTGAGCATCAACCTATGAACCAGGAGGTCACAGTTCGATTCCTGGTCAGGGCACATGCCCGGGTTGCAGGCTTGATCCCCAGTGAGGTGCATGCTGGAGGCAGCAGATCAATGATTCTTTCTCACCATTGATGTTTCTCTCCCTCTCCCTTCCTCTCTGAAATCAATAAAAATACATTTAAAACAAACAAACAAAAAGAATGCCTGCTTCACAGAAGTGTTGTGCATATTAGGGGAGGCATCTATGAAGCTCTTAGTATAATGTCTGGCACATCGTTAATGCTCAACAAATAATAGCTAACAGTTACTGCACACTTGTCCCAGGTCAGGCACTACGTCAAGCAAGCACTTTTTAAATATTCTGAAATTGATCCCTTGCAATCTCCCTATTAGGTAGATACTATTAATTTTATTATTCATATTTTATAGATAGAAAACAAACAGGTAAGTGACTCAACCAGAGTCACACAAGTAATAAGTAGTAAAGCTGGATTGTTAACCAAGGCATTTGATTAATTACAGTAAGCTAAGGGCTAGTGTTAAGATTCTGGTGACTTACACATTTGAAGGATCATGCCACTCTTTATTGTCCTTCACCCGCATGTATTTTACACATCTCTCCCCCAAGGAGAGCTAATGTTTCATGAAAAAAGCCACACAACACATAGTGTCCTAATCTAGGAGTCAACAGGCCTGAATTCTACTCCCAACTCTCACAGTCCAGTTTGCAGACCTCAGCCAAGGCAGTTCCTCTTTACTACTTCATGAAATGAAGTCAGTTGGACTAAATAAGTTATTTGCAAATATGGCTCACCTTTGGAATCACCTTGGAATTCCCCCTTGTAGTTCCAGGGTCCAACCTTGGCTTTCTGTAATTGTTGTTTTTTTCAATATATTTTTATTGACTTCAGAGAGGAAGGGAGGGGGAAGAGAGATAGAAACATCAATGATGAGAGAGAATCATTGATTGGCTGCCTCCT